CGGTACTAAGCTCAGAACCCAAGACACTGTAGGGACACAGTACTAAGCTCAGAACCCAAGGCACTGTAGGAGCATGGTACTAAGCTCAGACCCAAGGCACTGTAGGAGCACGGTACTAAGCTCAGACCCAAGGCACTGTAGGATCACGGTACTAAGCGCGACAGTGACATCTTCATATCGGACATAAACTTCGTGCCGTCACGAAACCAAATCAGCGCGAAAGTTTTGTCGGCAGAAAGCGCCGTCAAATGGCAGACACGCGTCTTTCTATTCTTCTCAACTTCATTACGTCAAATACAAGAAATATTGACAAATCAAAGCTTTAAATTTTCAAGCAAGAATTAGAAAGGTGCCTGTAGGAAATGGCGGATCGGCCTGGTGGTGATGGATATATGTGGGCATGCGGGCCGCTGCCAGCAACAGCTTTATCGATTAGATCATCGCCTAAAAAGTCTGGTCGCTGGCCAGCCTGCGCGAGCAGAAAAACTCCCAAAACCAGTCACAGGTAAATCCGCCGCCAAGGTCAACTCTGTGTCAGCCTACTGTGGAGACGGTACTGTCACTGTGGAGATATATTGCCGGAACAACAGTGGACATCTTCAAGAGAAAACTAGATAACTTTCTCCAAGGAGTGCCGGACCAACCGGGCTGTGGTCGGTATGTGGGCCTGCGGGCCGCTCCAAGCAACAGCCTGGTGGACCAAGCTCTCACAAGTCAAGCCTGGTCCCGGGCCGGGCTTGGGGAGTAGAACTACTCCCAGAACCCCATCAACCAGGTATTGTTGTTGTAAGTGGAGGTGACCAGCGTGTGTCAGGGTGCAGGAGGCGGCGGTAACATCTCGCACACATTCATATCTCGGGGACACTTGAGTGGTGTGGCCCCTTGGCCAAGTGTGGCCCCCCTGGCCAAGTGTGGCCCCCTGGTCAAGTGTGGCCCCTGGCCAAGTGTGGCCCCTGGCCAAGTGTGGCCCCCCTGGCCAAGTGTGGCCCCCCTGGCCAAGTGTGGCCCCCTGGCCAAGTGTGGCCCCCCTGGCCAAGTGTGGCCCCCCTGGCCAAGTGTGGCCCCCTGGCCAAGTGTGGCCCCCCTGGCCAAGTGTGGCCCCCCTGGCCAAGTGTGGCCCCCTGGCCAAGTGTGGCCCCCCTGGCCAAGTGTAGCCCCCTGGCCAAGTGTGGCCCCCTGGCCAAGTGTGGCCCCCTGGCCAAGTGTGGCCCCCCTGGCCAAGTGTGGCCCCCTGGCCAAGTGTGGCCCCCCTGGCCAAGTGTGGCCCCCTGGCCAAGTGTGGCCCCCCTGGCCAAGTGTGGCCCCCCTGGCCAAGTGTGGCCCCCCTGGCCAAGTGTGGCCCCCCTGGCCAAGTGTGGCCCCCCCTGGCCAAGTGTGGCCCCCCTGGCCAAGTGTGGCCCCCCCTGGCCAAGTGTGGCCCCCCTGGCCAAGTGTGGCCCCCCTGGCCGAGTGTGGCCCCCTGGCCAAGTGTGGCCCCCCCTGGCCAAGTGTGGCCCCCCTGGCCAAGTGTGGCCCCCCTGGCCAAGTGTGGCCCCCCCTGGCCAAGTGTGGCCCCCCTGGCCAAGTGTGGCCCCCCTGGCCAAGTGTGGCCCCCCCTGGCCAAGTGTGGCCCCCTGGCCAAGTGTGGCCCCTGGCCATGTGTGGCCCCCCTGGCCAAGTGTGGCCCCCCCTGGCCAAGTGTGGCCCCCTGGTCAAGTGTGGCCCCCTGGCCAAGTGTGGCCCCCTGGCCAAGTGTGGCCCCCCTGGCCAAGTGTGGCCCCCCTGGCCAAGTGTGGCCCCCCTGGCCAAGTGTGGCCCCCCCTGGCCAAGTGTGGCCCCCCCTGGCCAAGTGTGGCCCCCCCTGGCCAAGTGTGGCCCCCCTGGCCAAGTGTGGCCCCCTGGCCAAGTGTGGCCCCCCTGGCCAAGTGTGGCCCCCTGGCCAAGTGTGGCCCCCTGGCCAAGTGTGGCCCCCTGGCCAAGTGTAGCCCCCTGGCCAAGTGTAGCCCCCTGGCCAAGTGTAGCCCCCTGGCCAAGTGTGGCCCCTGGTCAAGTGTAGCCCCCTGGCCAAGTGTGGCCCCCTGGCCAAGTGTGGCCCCCCTGGCCAAGTGTAGCCCCCTGGCCAAGTGTGGCCCCCTGGCCAAGTGTGGCCCCTGGCCATGTGTGGCCCGCGGTTCATGTCGCTGGCGTGCCTGCCACGTCATATGATATACACGTCGCTGCCTCCCGCTCGCTCCTTGCATGTTGAAATGCACCTTTTACATCTACAAATCTTTCAACTGTGTTTTTTGTTACATGTTCCCCTAAAATTCATAGACTTTGGCAATTATTATATATCATGTTGTATTAAATCTTTGTGTCTCACAAGTCAAATTTGCCTGCAGTGTGTTTCGCAAATATTTATTTTACCAAGAGAGTTGTAAACTATATACTGTGCACCTGTTTAGTCCGTCCAACACCTGATTAGTCCAACACCTGATTAGTCCAACACCTGATTTGTCCGTCCAACATCTGATTTGTCCGTCCAACATCTGATTTGTCCGTCCAACATCTGTTTAGTCCGTCCAACATCTGATTTGTCCGTCCAACATCTGATTTGTCCGTCCAACATCTGATTTGTCCGTCCAACATCTGATTTGTCCGTCCAACATCTGATTTGTCCGTCCAACATCTGTTTAGTCCGTCCAACATCTGTTTAGTCCGTCCAACATACGATTTGTTCGCTTACACAAATTGTATCGCTTTACATAAATTGTTATGAATTAAGCTTTTTATAATAATTTTGATGGTTTTACAACATATATTTTAGAGGTGTCTGGTGACGGCAGTGCAACGCGCACTGACCATTTATATCATTTATTTACTCAGGTTGTCAGCTGTCTCAGGATGTTAGACAGAGGTATTTAAAACGTGGCAAGCGCTGACCGTAGACTTTTGTTCTCTTCACAGATGGATGAGTAACCTGGGAGAGACATGTCCGGCCCGGGAGGGGGTTCGCCGCCCCTTGGCCTGCCCCGCCCCGTGCCACACCCACTAGGGGAGCCCCGCCCCGTGCCACACCCACTAGGGGAGCCCCGCCCCACACCCCAGTACCCATCGTTACAACACCAGGTGAGTCAACTCGTTCTCTCGCTGCTTCTCTCCAGTTCTTGAAGGTAAAATTTGGAATATTTTTCCCATAGTAGAAAAACATCATGTCAAGGATTTGGGAATAATGATGTCCGACGATCTAACGTTTAGGGAGCATAACCAAGCAAATATTGCGACAGCCAGAAAAATGATCGGGTGGATTACGAGAACTTTCAAATCCAGGGATCCCATCACAATGGTTGTAGTCTTCAAGTCACTTGTGTTGTCCCGTCTCGAATATTGCTCAGTACTCACTTCCCCCTTCAGAGCAGGAGAGATTGCTGAAATAGAGGGAATACAGAGAACATATACGGCACGCATAAACGAGATAAAACACCTAAATTATTGGGATCGTCTCAAAGCTCTCCAAATGTACTCTCTAGAAAGGAGACGAGAGAGATACCAAATAATATACACCTGGAAGATACTGGAGGGCCAAGTACCAAATCTACACAGTAAAATAACAACGTACTGGAGTGAACGATATGGAAGAAAATGCAGAATAGAACCAGTGAAGAGCAGAGGTGCCATAGGCACAATCAAAGAACACTGTATAAACATCAGAGGTCCGCGGTTGTTCAACGTCCTCCCAGCGAGCATAAGAAATATTGCCGGAACAACCGTGGACATCTTCAAGAGAAAACTGGACAGTTTTCTAAGAGAAGTTCCGGATCAGCCGGGCTGTGGTGGGTATGTAGCCCTGCGGGCCGCTCCAAGCAACAGCCTGGTGGACCAAACTCTCACAAGTCGAGCCTGGCCTCGGGCCGGGCTTGGGGAGTAGAAGAACTCCCAGAACCCCATCAAGCATGTAGCCAGCACGGGGTCTGGTTGAACCATGTGGCCAGCACGGGGTCTGGTTGAACCATATAGCCAGCACGGAGTCTAGTTGAACCATGTAGCGAGCACGGGGTCTAGTTGAACCATATAGCCAGCACGGAGTCTAGTTGAACCATGTAGCGAGCACGGGGTCTAGTTGAACCTTGTAGCGAGCACGGGGTCTAGTTGAACCTTGTAGCCAGCACGGGGTCTGGTTGAACCATGTAGCCAGCACGGGGTCTGGTTGAACCATGTAGCGAGCACGGGGTCTAGTTGAACCATGTAGCGAGCACGGGGTCTAGTTGAACCTTGTAGCGAGCACGGGGTCTAGTTGAACCATGTAGCCAGCACGGGGTCTGGTTGAACCATGTAGCGAGCACGGGGTCTAGTTGAACCATGTAGCGAGCACGGGGTCTGGTTGAACCATGTAGCGAGCACGGGGTCTAGTTGAACCTTGTAGCGAGCACGGGGTCTAGTTGAACCATGTAGCCAGCACGGGGTCTGGTTGAACCATGTAGCCAGCACGGGGTCTGGTTGAACCATGTAGCCAGCACGGGGTCTGGTTGAACCATGTAGCCAGCACGGGGTCTGGTTGAACCATATAGCCAGCACGGGGTCTGGTTGAGCCACGTAGCCAGCACGGGGTCTGGTTGAACCATATAGCCAGCACGGGGTCTGGTTGAACCATATAGCCAGCACGGGGTCTGGTTGAACCATATAGCCAGCACGGTCTAGTTGAACCATGTAGCCAGCACGGGGTCTGGTTGAGCCACGTTGCCAGCACGGGGTCTGGTTGAGCCACGTAGCCAGCACGGGGTCTGGTTGAGCCACGTAGCCAGCACGGGGTCTGGTTGAACCACGTAGCCAGCACGAGGTCTGGTTGAGCCACGTAGCCAGCACGAGGTCTGGTTGAACCATATAGCCAGCACGGGGTCTGGTTGAACCACGTAGCCAGCACGAGGTCTGGTTGAGCCACGTAGCCAGCACGGGGTCTGGTTGAACCATATAGCCAGCACGGGGTCTGGTTGAACCATATAGCCAGCACGGGGTCTAGTTGAACCATATAGCCAGCACGGGGTCTGGTTGAGCCACGTAGCCAGCACGGGGTCTGGTTGAACCATATAGCCAGCACGGGGTCTGGTTGAACCATATAGCCAGCACGGGGTCTGGTTGAACCACGTAGCCAGCACGAGGTCTGGTTGAGCCACGTAGCCAGCACGGGGTCTGGTTGAACCATATAGCCAGCACGGGGTCTGGTTGAACCATATAGCCAGCACGGGGTCTGGTTGAACCACGTAGCCAGCACGAGGTCTGGTTGAGCCACGTAGCCAGCACGGGGTCTGGTTGAACCATATAGCCAGCACGGGGTCTAGTTGAACCATATAGCCAGCACGGGGTCTGGTTGAACCATATAGCCAGCATGAGGTCTGGTTGAGCCACGTAGCCAGCACGGGGTCTGGTTGAACCATATAGCCAGCACGGGGTCTGGTTGAACCACGTAGCCAGCACGGGGTCTGGTTGAACCACATAGCCAGCACGGGGTCTGGTTGAACCATATAGCCAGCATGGGGTCTGGTTGAACCATATAACCAGCACGGGGTCTGGTTGAACCACGTAGCCAGCACGGGGTCTAGTTGAACCATATAGCCAGCACGGGGTCTAGTTGAACCATATAGCCAGCACGAGGTCTGGTTGAGCCACGTAGCCAGCACGGGGTCTGGTTGAACCATATAGCCAGCACGGGGTCTGGTTGAACCATATAGCCAGCACGGGGTCTGGTTGAGCCACGTAGCCAGTACGGGGTCTGGTTGAGCCACGTAGCCAGTACGGGGTCTGGTTGAGCCACGTAGCCAGTACGGGGTCTGGTTGAGCCACGTAGCCAGTACGGGGTCTGGTTGAGCCACGTAGCCAGTACGGGGTCTGGTTGAGCCACGTAGCCAGCACGGGGTCTGGTTGAGCCACGTAGCCAGCACGGGGTCTGGTTGAGCCACGTAGCCAGCACGGGGTCTGGTTGAACCATATAGCCAGCACGGGGTCTGGTTGAACCACGTAGCCAGCACGGGGTCTGGTTGAGCCACGTAGCCAGCACGGGGTCTGGTTGAACCATATAGCCAGCACGGGGTCTGGTCGAACCACGTAGCCAGCACGGGGTCTGGTTGAACCACGTAGCCAGCACGGGGTCTGGTTGAGCCACGTAGCCAGCACGGGGTCTGGTTGAGCCACGTAGCCAGCACGGGGTCTGGTTGAACCATGTAGCCAGCACGGGGTCTGGTTGAGCCACGTAGCCAGTACGGGGTCTGGTTGAACCATATAGCCAGTACGGGGTCTGGTTGAACCACGTAGCCAGCACGGGGCAGGTTTTAGAACCACCAGGATAAACTTGCTACACGCCGGGGAAGATTGACGTTGATCAACATCTGGAGCACTATAGACGATGCAACATTGCAACACACACACGGGAAGGACGGTATCTAAAGCGCTATCTTTACTGACAGCACTGACAGAGGTAGTGACGGCAACACTACACAACATGGGCCCTTTTTAGCGGGGGAAAAGCCCCAATGCTGTGCCTTCGGGATTGTATATTTTTAATGTATCCCAAAATAGGTTACAATATTTTATATCTATGTATGGACTGTGTCTGTTATACGACAGAAAACTGTATTTTCATTTTCGTTATTAATACTTTAATAGTTTTAGTTGCAAATTGCTGAAGTTTGCAGGAGGCAATTGTGATGTTAACTTCAGGTCAGTATGTTACAATCTGTTTTACATAACTGCCTAATACTTGGTGGAGGATTAGTGGGGGGGGGGGTTCCTACCCATAGGAGGAGAGGGAGGGTGTCCGTGCTCCTTGCTAGGTACAGCACTTGATCTCTGAACAATTTAGAACAAAACGTTGTTGTTTGATTAGAATTAACTAGCATCGGTATCAACGGACAGAGGCTGTTTTTGTCCTAGTTGTCCATATGCAAAATCAAATCAAGGTATTGGCATCTTTTGAAGTGGTGCGTAGTAATGGTGGTGATCTTTAACACTCTGGCGGATGGGGTATGGGGGACACACTGGGTGATCCATTGCGGGTGTGTCATAATAAGAACATAAACTGTTCAGATCTGGAGCTCTAAATGCTCGTGTGTCTCCAAGGTTGGAGGTGTAATGCTTGGTATAGGCTGGTTAGGGGTCGGGCACACTCTCCCCAGTCTCCCCTTTAAGAAATATTGGCTTCTGTGATTTTCATGGTCTGGAATTTTATATTTATTTTCTATAGAGTTTTATACATATGTTTCATCAGGTAATATTAAATTTTTTTATGTGATAGAGAGAGCGCGGGGAAGAAAATAGAAGACGAAAAAAGGATAGGAAGAGAGAAGGGGAGAGAGAGCGAGCGCGAGCTTGAGTAGCGTAAATTTAAAAATATTTATTATATGCAAAATCATATCAAAATCCTGCAGAGCCTCGCAGATCAGGCAGTCACCAGGCAATGACGGCCACAAGCTAAGCTGCGGGAGTAGAAGGCTCTTGAAATCATCCACAGATTCAAACCTCCTCGGAGCACTTAAACTCTACCCCTTGGAACAGAGACGAGAGTGCGATCCCATCTCCACTACCTCTGATGGTGTTGAGCACGCCGGAGTAAGTAGGCTTTGTAAACTCATTCAAAGCCTCTTGCTAAGGAGGTCATCTTCCACACCGAGAGAAGCCCTCATTACTCATATTTACCGTGTTAGCTGTATATTTGCTTTACACTGTGCCTTTAACTCCTTGTATAGCTTTCCAAGTGCGTGTAGGTTAATTGTGTTGGTGGGTCGGTGATAAGCGGTTGCGAGGGCTGTGTGCAGGCGGCGTCTAGTGTACACAATCACCTCACTAATTACTGAACCAGGTGTTTGAAACAGACACATTGTGTATACGGGGCGAGTCACCCAGGAGGGTACGCTGTATTAGGTCTGGATCTGGAACATATTATATGACTCGCCGGCGAGCGTTATCGTTATTGAGATTAACTTCACGAGATCAAACACTGGCGCCAGCTCGGTGCTAATGAAGGTTGTCGGGCTTAGCAATCGTTTTGCAACATCCTGTAAATAGGAAATAGCATTAGAACACTGTGAACTGGAAATTGTATGAAGCACTGTAAATTGGAAATAGTATTACAACACGAAGCTGGGAACCAACGGGATTTACAAATAGAACGCGGACAAAGGGTAGATAATTGGACGTAATGTTTGTGCAGATATAATTGGATTAAACTTTTGGGTTGAGTTTAATTGAGAATTTAACAGGTGTTGACGTGTGTGTGTGTGACGACAGGTGGACGAGCTCGAGGCGAAGGCTGCCACCATGAGGACGGTGTTGTCGCAGCTGGTGGACGCCGACAAGGACGTGGACACGGAGGTCGGCGTCCTGGACTCCAGCACGGGCTGCGAGGGGTCCTGCGACTCCCCTCCCCCGCTCCCCTCGCTCATCTTCGACTCCCAGCTGAGCAACATGCCCGCCGGCCTCCTGGGCAGCGACCCCCTTATTAACCACCACCAGTTCCAGAGGTCAGTGCCTGTACGTTACCTGTAGTCGGTTCCAAGGGTTTGTCTCAAAGCCTGGTAGGGTTATAGGCTCGTCTCCACGCCAGGGTCACTGTCATTCGTTTGACGAATTAAGACCTGTTATCGTATTACGCTGATAATCCAGTGGTCCTGAATCCGAATCTTCCCTGAGGGACATGGATAATTTCTCTGGGAATAACCGTGTCTCCACCTGCTATTCTCACTGAATAATTGTTTAGAAATGTCTTACGCCAGTGATGGCGGTTGACTCTTACATCTCAACATGTGACTGCCTCCAGTCCAAGACCGGAACTGGGGATTACTGTACCGGGACCTGCACATCAGTAAAAGAACTCCCAGAACCCCAGCAACCAGGTATCAACAAGGGCCGGGGCACTGTACCATGACAACACAATTGTAATGTATTACTGCCCAAACATTAATAATTTCAGTCATAATTGGCACAGTTATTTAGTAAACAGTTGTGCTCTTCATAAGTGTAGTGAATATTTAGTCGAAATTAGACCGTCACCGAAGGGACGACTCGTTGTTTGCACCTCATAATATTTTGTAAAATAATTTGCGACATTCGCGGTACTAGGAGATCGTCTTCGCGTGTCTGGGGATAACTTGCAAGACTTGTGTGTAGTTGTGCAAGGAAGATCCTTAATATTAACGGGTTATGTTAGTCCCTTGTGGTCAGTTTTTGAACTGGTTTACACCTTGAGTGATGTTAAAAAATCAACATAGGCCTAGTTGCTCCAAGAATTATACAGACGTATATTGAAGCCTAGGATACTAACTCTAAGAAGTATTACAATATATATATAAGAAAACTAATTTGTTAACAAGAAGTTAACAATGTTTACCACATGTAGTTGATTTAGACAGAATTGACCAGCAACACCTGCAAATTTTCAGACACAAAAATATAGCAGGAGATAAATTTACAAGATACAAAAGCACTAAAAGTCAATCTAGATAGCTTTTTACAATTTAAAGATTGCCAGATGCAGGATAATGCTGAAAGAAATAGGATATCTATGCTCAGATAATGACAGTAAAGTTATTAGATATCAGCTGCACAATGTTGAACTTGTGAAATCAGAATATGAAAATAATTTGGAATTAATTATTATTAGGGATCCTAAACCTTCCCACCCCCCCCCCAAAAAAAATGCATAAATGAATGATATAAAAGAAAAAGATGATAACGGGAATTTACTTTTAAGTGCGTTAGCAATATATGTTATAATATTCTAAAGCTTTATTGTTAGTCCTTATTTTTAAGTAAACTGATCAGTTTTGATCTCCGTACTACAGAATGGCTCTAAATTCACTTTATTCTGTTTTTTTCATCCTTATTTTTCATCCTTTTTTTTAACCCATAATGTAATTGATATAATTTTGTGGTGTGTTTTTAGGTCCGGGAGCCCCCACCCTCTGCTGAACAACACGACGCTCTCGGGGGTGGTGTTCAATAACAACCTGAGCGAGTTCTCCCTCGACAACATCAACTCCAACGCCACGATGGGGCCCCCCAGCGGCAGGACCTCCGTCACCAGCTCCATCAATGACTTTATCGATAACCAAGACCTTCTCTTGGCCGACTTCAACTCCAACGGTAAGTGCTCACACCTTATTGTGGGAACTGGTACTCTGGGTACTGGTACTCTGGGTACTGGTACTCTGGGTACTGGTGTGTTAGGTACTGGTACTCTGGGAACTGGTACTCTGGGTACTGGTATGTTGGAAACTAGTATTCTCGGTACTGGTTAAGTGTGTGTGTGTGTATATATATATATATATATATATATATATATATATATATATATATATATATATATATATATATGCGGAAAATCCACAGAGAAATATGAAATGAGATGAACGTTTCGGCTTGTTAAAGCCTTTGTCAACACCAGACTCAACACCAGACTTTGAGTCTGGTGTTGACAAAGGCTTTAACAAGCCGAAACGTTCACCTCATTTCATATTTCTCTGTGGATTTTCCGCATAAAATGATCAGTGTTTTGTGATCGTCAATTGCATATATATATATATATATATATATATATATATATATATATATATATATATATATATATATATATATATATATATACATAATATATATATATATATATATATATATATTATTAGTGCTCAATGAGGATCCACAAGGTCATCTCTGAGTACACATTATTTTCTTCTCCGAGGCAATGGGTCCCTACACTTGCACCAGAGGTGGTACCCCTTTTTGGGTTAAATATATATATATATATATATATAATATATAATATATATATATGCAGAATAACCATATATGAAAAATAGAAACTGCTTAACGCGTTTTCGGCTAATTCGCCTTCATCACAGCAAAGTAGAATCAATTCTACTTTGAATGATTCTACTTTGCTCTGATGAAGGCGAATTAACCAAAAACGCATTAAGCATTCTCTATTTTTTTACATGTGGTTATTCTGCATATATATATATATATATATATATATATATATATATATATATATATATATATATATATATGAGAGATATTATCTCTTTGTTCGAGGTTGGGGCCAGGCACTTGGGGCTAACCTCACTAAGGTGACGCGTGCTGCGTGACTGAGGAGTGCCACAGGGGTGGGTGAGGTTGACGCCCCTCCCCCCGGGTGGGGTTAACCCCCCGTGTGGGGTTGACGCCCCATGCCCTTCTTTAAGTACGATTGGCTTCTGTTGCGACAAACAGTGAGTCCCATGGTGTTCGAAATGTGGAATTGATTGTCCATAGTGTTTTCCTACTGATTTCTGGGCTCTTATCGCCATTGAATTTACGTCAGTAACGTTACATCAACGTGGATTCAACGTTATTCGAGCATGGGAGGGTTAAAAGGAGAGAGAATGGGAGAGAGCGGGGTAGGTAAGAGGCGGAATGGGAGAATGAATGGAAGGGAGATTGGGAAAATCCGAGTGCATTTGTGTAATTTGAACCAATGTTAATCTACCTCTCCGAAGCAGTAAAGCCACTAAACCTTGAGAACAAATCTAATATTCTTATCCCAAAAACACCAAGCTTGAGAAAGGGTTTATTTTGATTAGAACGATATAATACTGTTGTTTGCCTGGAAGGAAAATATTTAACAAATGTAAATGTCCTGAGTAGAAAAATGTATCTTATTAATAATAAAATATTAAACTTCTGTAAGTTACGAAAAATATACATAAAGAATTAACAATTATTTAAAATATCTACATCTGCCATTAATATTGTAAGAGAAAACGAATACAACCAAATACAGAAAACGCGGGATTATCAGGGTAAACTGGAATAAATAACGCTAGTTTCGCGATGCTACGAGAATTCTCGTTCCCGTTAGTTATGCGATAAAAGAGGCATCTGTGAATAACCTAAACAACCCAACACAACTCTTATGCAGTAGTGAGGGGGAGAGGGTAGGGGCAACGAGACAACTTCCTCAGGTGGGCGGTTCGGAAGGTCGTGGGGGGATAGACCGAGTGAATGGGAAGGACTTGAGTTTTATAAGGTGGCAAACAGCCAATAACATTGCGTCCTGGGAGCCAGATTGAAAAGAGCCAAACGCAGGCCAGAGAGCTCATTAGACTTTGACAAATTTTCTGTAAATCAATCAGTGCCGGCTACTGATCACATGGCCCTATATGACTAACTATCCGGCGAGATGGGGACGTTTAGCATCACGTAGGTAGTTCTTGAGACACACTGTACTCCCCCTTCATATACTCCAGGGCAGCTGCACGAATGCAGATGTGCCGAAATGTGTCAATAAAAGATCAATTTATTATTATTAACATCTTTATTGACAAAATTAATTACAATTTTGCCTAACTGATAACGGAACAGCCTACGAAGACTAGATAGATAGATAGTACTTTATAGTACTTTATATATAGTACTTTATACATAGTACTTTATACATATACTATTACATTATATATTATATATTATATTATTATTATATATTATATTATTATTATATATTATATTATTATTATATATTATATATTATATTATATATTATACTATATATTATACTATATATTATAGATAGTACTTTATATATAGTACTTTTGTTTAGATAGTACTTATAGTTACGATGTGGACCATCGTGCATATATTGACGTAATGGATAATTAGAAAGCACATCTATGTACTAATATAGTACATATATGTGCTATACTAGGCCTAGGAATATTTAAATTTGGTTTTACTTTATTTTTTTCCCGGACTCTTAGAAAGTTAATCCAAACAGGAATATGAGTTGTAACATACTCTTGATTTACTCTTCAGGGAACAACAAGGAAAGGTATTACGGTCTCATAGTCATACTCAGACCACACACTGTCATGTTCACACTAACATTAATACTGTACACGTAATAGATCCAGAGGAGAGATCAAGTGTGAGTGGATATTCATTCAATACAATGTCAACAATAAATGTATCAACAGGGACATGTGAAGAGAGAACTAGTAAACATAAGACTAAAGAAGAGACTGCAGAAGGCCAGTTGGCTCATGTATAACCTACACTTGAAACATTCCAGCGAACTGTTAGCGCTGAAACTCGCACACTAGGCATAGAGAGTATTAACGCAGAAACGTACATAAAGATCTGCATGAAACATTGTCTTGTGCAAGATCACAGTTCAGGTTCTAAACAAATAACAACAAAGACTCCACAGGAGGAAAATTATCAATAAACTGCTCAGTTACATATATCTCGACACAAGGAAACAACTATTCTACACAGATTATATAAAATGAAGCTAAAGCTCCCATTACCAGACTGAAGAAATGGAAAATAGTAAAACTTATTGAATAGAAAGGAATCCAAAACTTTTTGCACGTTCAAAATGATAGACATTTCATAGAATACAGATTCAGAGTCTGATTTCCTTCTTCTCACAAAATGTCAAGACACTGCCAAAATCTTGACATCGACCTACAATAGGAGATTCATACAAAAAAAGTAAGATGACAATTTTTTTTTTTTTTTGGGGGGGGGGGGGGGGGTTCCAGCATTGAGAAAGAAGTATACGAATCTAGGTTTAGAAAGACAAAGTTATCAGAGGTCGAGCCTGGTCCCAGGCCGGGCTTGGAGAGCAGAACAACTCCCAGAATCCTGCCCAGGTATATTCCAGGTATACTCTGACAGTTTTTCCGTCAATGATGCTGACATTGGAAACAAATATTGGATGGTAACAATAGACCCCCACGGTCGAAGGAATAAATTATGATGTATATTTAATTATCTGTCCTACCGATGACAAAGAGCAGACGTGAACCACAGTGCCGCAGTCCCTACGCTTCTGCTCTTCTCATACAGTGCAAGTACTATATAAAAGCACTAGGGAAAACGGTCCCTGATGCAGATAGCAAGTCACAACAACGTGGCTGAAAATTAGCCACCCAACCCCCCACACATGTTTTCCTGACCACCTTAAGCTCCAGTCTGTGGAGAAACTGTGGGAGCGTTTTCCTTGATCGACTCGTATATTTTTCTTTACCAAAGGCTATGGCGCTTTGAGTAAGCCATTTTTTTTTTTAGAGTAAACCTATCCTAAAAAGAAACAAATCAGCAGGCATGTTGATGGCTTTTCTCAACCTCCTTTATGTCTTCCTTGCCAGGAGTGGCTGTTGCTTACCTGGCCGCGTGTGGCTAGCGAATGAGCCTCAACTCCAACCATTTGTTTACACTGCGCACTGTGGCCTCGTGTTGACAAACATGAGCCAGCTACCGGTGCGCACGTCGATAGTGATGGGGTAGAATAAGCTAAATCGTGAGCTATTATGATTACCAGTATCGGTAATCTATTTTTGTATCAGTATATATCAGAGTGACGCAGTATGTGTAGCTAACATCTGGCTCGTTATTTCGTCCGCAAGAGTTTGTCTCTCTCAATCATCCTTGCGCAAGCTGCTGTCTCTAATTGTTTACTTGTTAATAATGTTTGTGTATGCCAGTGTTTACGAGTTACTGTCTCCATTCGTGAGTGTTTGCCATTTTGACAACATAGACACTAGCGAGGAATTGTGTGTGTGTGTGTGTGTAAATTTGCAGGGATCTTGAATGCTATTGTGTGATGTTATTTCTGTATGTGTTAAAATGCATGGGCGTTTGTGTACATGTGTGTGTGTGTGTGTGTGTGTGTGTGTGTGCGTGTGTGTGTGTATGTGTGCGTGTGTGCGTGAGCGGGCGTGTGCGGGGCAGCGTGGAAGGAGGTTGGTGGCGGTGTCGGAGGAACGGCGCCCCGACAATCAATAAGGGTGCGCGCGGTACAGATGGCGCCTGGGTCGCACAGTTTCCCCTCTGCCGTTGTGGGGGCCGGAGCCTCAGTCGCAAGCCTCCCCTCGGACCTCCCCGGCTAGTTGTTGTGTAAGGACGCCCTTCTGTTCTTCCCTGTAGATCACCGCTACTTCCTCCCCCATCCCCGGGACGAACCACCACCAGCGTCTAAGGGAAGCAAGACTGACTCGCCGTGAATCTGTGACGCGAACAGCTGTTCAAGACGCTGGTAGCGCTAGTGCGGGGTTTTATGGCAAATTTACCGTCTCCTCTCAACCCCCCTATTCTGTGTTTTGACAGTGGCGGTGGTGTACGCCCATGTGACAGGCTGCGCCCACGGGCCCGCTGGGGGGTTGTGGGTGTGTTGGGGGTGGTAGGGAGATAGGTAGGTGGTGGGGAAAGGTGTGGGGGCATTTGTGTACGGGAGAATTGTGGGCTGGTGAAGGTGAGGGGCAGCG